GGCGCCGCCCCCGGCCCACCAGCCAATGGCAGCGCTCGGCGCGCGCGGGAGCCATTCATCCGCATGCCCCGCCCCCAGGGAAAGGGAGGCGTCCCGCAGTGGGTGACTGGGACCCAGGCCTAGGGGTGTCCTCGCTGTTGGCGCCCTGTGAACCGCCCGTGCGGCTTCAACCCCGCCCCTAGGGGGATAGTTGCCAATGGGGCGCCGCCCCCGGCCCACCAGCCAATGGCAGCGCTCGGCGCGCGCGGGAGCCATTCATCCGCATGCCCCGCCCCCAGGGAAAGGGAGGCGTCCCGCAGTGGGTGACTGGGACCCAGGCCTAGGGGTGTCCTCGCTGTTGGCGCCCTGTGAACCGCCCGTGCGGCTTCAACCCCGCCCCTAGGGGGATAGTTGCCAATGGCCTGTGTGCTTATGTGGCTGATCATTCCCCCTGGAATTGTGCATTAACCCCCAGGGATGCTGAGCCAGGGATACCTGCAGCAGCCCATGCCCGGTCTTTATTTCAGTGAAATTGTTAGGTTTATGTTTCTACCACTTTTGCTGAAATCCTCAGAGTAAAGCTCTTTCACAGTGGAGGTTCTTCTGTTTAGGAACAGGCTGACGTTGGTGCCTACCGGATCCCCACTTTGCCATAGTTGCTTATGGTGTTTAGACAATTACTTCCATGCTGTTTAGAAAGGCAACCATTTTACAGTGTTGTTCCCATACCTACAAACATCATTTGTGACAGGAATCTTTTCAGATCTCTGGGAATTTAAACCTTGTCCCACACTTGAAGTCCCTTTGTGACACTTTCTTATGTCCAGTGATGAGTAGACTTGGTTCATCTAGAGCAGGGGTGTTCAAACTTTTTTCAAAGAGGGCCAGATTTGATGAAGTGAACATGCGTGAGGGCCGACCATTTTGCCTGACATTCTTTGAACCATTAAAATTAAATGCAAATTAACTATTTTATGCAAAGTTTATTGCAAACGGCATACTTTTCATTTCGTCACATGGATGACAAATCTAAACAGGTGTTAAATCACTGCCTTTCATATTTGAAGGCCAGATGAAAAAAAAATCTAGGAAGCTGAAATATATGTCAGGAACATTGTAAAGTACATTACATATTATTGGTAATAAAGGTTGTCTGTCAACTTTTAAGTTCAAAAAATATGAACAGGAACATAACACCAAGTATACATGTTGTGTCCAAATATATTTATAACTGATTTAGACCAACTGACATTAACTGAGATTTTACAATGTATTCATCTCAATACATATGGATTCATTGGGGGCCATAAAAGATAGATATTGCCAAATTACCTGGGGGGCCGTATTAAACCGGAACACGGGCCGCAATTGGCCCGCGGGCCGGACTTTGGACATGCCTGATCTAGAGGCATGGAAAGGAAGAATTGCTGGAAAGCCTAGAAATGTGTGCAGAGAAGGATCATAACATTTTCTTTTAACACTCACAGAAAAATATTGCTAGATTACAAGCCAGCCAGAGAAGCGAAGTTTGGGAACTTTCAGGGACACTGAAAACCCATGAAGAAAAGGAAAATAAATCTCTAACTCTGTATTGCACAGTAATGCATATTGGAAAGCATAATCCCAACTATCCATACAAAATGATTGGGCGCAAGTTAGCTGTTATCACTCAAAAAAGCTCATGGGCTGTGCAATGACACTCCACACGTACACTCCTATACTGAAGATTTAGATTCAATTACAGGCAGTCCCCGGGTAACGTACAAGATAGGGACTATAGGTTTGTTCTTAAGTTGAATTTGTACGTAACTCGGAACTGGCTCCAGGACTACAGGAAGCCCGAGGCAGAGTTGCTCTGCCCCCAGCTTCCTGGAATCAGCCACTGATCAGTTTTAACAGCGGCTGAATCTGGAGCCTGGGACAGAACAGCTGGGGCGCTGCCGGGTAGGTCCCCCCAGGACCAACCCGGCAGCACCCCAGCTGCTCTACCCCAGGCGTCCACAACAAAAGCCTGGTC